ACGAACGTAATATTTCCGTTTTACAATCTTATTGAAAAAATATAAAAATATTTGAAAATAAATTATCTTAAAATAACGTTAGGCGTCAAAAACAGATGTGTAGTGACGGATGAGTTAAAATTATTTAACCTTTCTCTGTCAGACGTACGAAGTTGAAACTTGACGGACCGATAAAATGTCATAATTTTCGAATTATAATTGGACCAATAAGAGCCCTCCCGGATGAACGGACTGACGGACAAACGGATAGGTACAGTTGTATTCATTAAAAAAGCGTACAAGAATTAGAATGAGAGAAAACTGTCAACATTATTGCGTAAAACCGGCTTTCCACTGACTTAAGTCACTATAACTGACAGTAGAAAATAAAAATGCCTTGTCAGTTAAAAAGGCTCAAATAGTATCAAGAATCGAAGAAGAATGGTCAATTCGTACTGTGGTATAATAGAAATAAAAAATCTATATTAAAAATTAAGCAACGCTGGGAACAGGAAGATTTACTAAACCAAAAAGTTGGTTCAGGTCGTCCCAAAATGTCCACCCCTGAACAGGATGCTGCTTTTTTGAGATATCTGAGGATTTATGGGAAACTATACAACTATACTATACCTACTATACTGCTGGGAAGATATTAATCCAAATATTGTATTAAATTTAATTCAGTTCATCCCAAATAGATTGGCTCAAGTAATAGAAAAACAGGGATGCATGACTAAATATTCAATTTTTTTTAATGTTTGTTTTTTTCATTATTAAAAGGTAATAATGTTTGTAATATTATTTAATTAACCTACGACGTCAATGCTCTTCATAACCTATAATAATTATTTTAATGACTTATGTCAGTGATAAGCCGGTTTTAAGCAATAATATTATTTTGACAGTTCTCTCTCATTCTTGTACGCTTTTTTATTAAATACAACTGTACATGAAAATTAAGCTTTACACATATACTTTTTCTATGTTTAACACAGTGGTCGCCCTTCTTATATTCTTTAAAAGAATTTCTTTTTCTATGGGGTCAGCCACAAAACTAGAAGGTGGGGAAAAGTCAAAACGCTGTCTATAAACGTGAGGCAAGATTACAACAAGCAGTGTTGCCCGAAATGCAGAATTTTCTTCAATATGCAGAATTTTAGCCTACATCGAGAGCTAATGAAGAAAAGAAGAATATTTTACAAAAACCACTACAATATGAAGAATTTTTTAAAGTCACATGATTTTTTTCATTTTTAATTTTTTTTTTAATTTTCTAGATTATTTAATTCTTTAACTCGATTTTAACACTGTAATATATTTTTTAAAGTCACATGATTTTTTTCATTTTAAATTTTTTTTTAATTTTCTAGATTATTTAATTCTTTAACTCAATTTTAACACTGTAATATGATTTAAAATTTAAATTTTTAATGTAATTATTTTATTCATTTCGTATGCATTCTGACATCTCTCGGTAAAATGGTATAATACTCTAATTGCATCATACCTACCTATATGATTGGTATAAAATAGGTATATTTATTTTATTTATAATTTATAAATCATAACTCCATAAAATATAATATATCTACTATATTATAAATTATAATATACCTAGTAGGTATATTATATTTTAAGGATTGCATGCACATGTGCATTGTGTATTAGAGATTTATTTAAAAATGAGTTCAAGTGAAGAATATTCTCAAGGGTAAATATTAAAATTTTAAATATGTATGCATATTTATTAATTAAATGAGTGCCTTTGTCACAGCAAATAATAATTAAGTATTTTGTATCGTATTTTAAGATTTTCCAAAATCCTCGAACAGGGTGGCTCTGTGAAGTGCCAAGTGAAGAGACAAAATTTGAATGTCGATGGTGTAATGCAATACTTTATAAGGGTGTTTTCAATAATGAATGATGTGAAAACAAAATAACAAAAAGAAAATACATTGAATTCATAGATTAATTTCCTTTGCGTATTTCGTACCAATTTTAAAGATTCAGGTACAAATTCTGCAAAAATGTCTGTCACCAAAAAACATTTAGATTTAATGAAATTAAATAATTTATTTAATTTCTAAATCATGGTGTAGGTATAGTTTTTTGTTCTGCCTATAAAATTAATTCATTTTCTTTAATTTGTAATACTTTATCTCTTGTTTACCATAAAAGATATTTGACTTTTAAAAATATTTTTTTTATTATTATTAAGTACCTAATCAAGTCAGAAGGTTTTTTTATCTAAGGACGTTTTACATCTCTGCAGAAATATGAAGAATTTTTAAGGTTAAATTGAAGAAAATTGGTATAAAGAATCTGGCAACACTGACAACAAGATATGTTCTGTGGGCAAGATCAAAGATAATATCTTTGGGCAAGATCACAAAACTAGAAGGGCTATGTTCCGTAATTTACTGTCAGTACTGTCGGTACTGAAAACGCATTCCGAAATCCACTTTCAGTTACTGAGCTCAGTGGTAAATACTACCCTTTTATAAATGTACGGCAGATTAAATTTACTGAAACAACTGGAGACAGAGAGGTGCTGTGGCTCCAGTAAAACACATAACCAAACTTTTAAACAAAAAATAGGTGTCAAATAAAGTGAAGGATATAAATTATATCATATATATATGGTACGCATACGAAGACCCAGAATATGAAACTACCTACTATAGTTCTACCCAGGCCCGTAGCCAGAAGTTTGGTTTGGGGGGGGCCCAAAACGTAGTAATAATTTTTTAGGTGGTATGGGGGGGTCGGAAATGGTTGATGGATAAATACCAGTAAAGCGTGAAGTTGTCATAAAAAATATGGCTTGTAATCGATATACATATTTTTAAAACATGATTCACATATTTAGGAAAATTTTAGGGTTCACGGAATTTCGGGGGGGGGGGCCGGGCCCGTCGGGCCCTACGGCTGGCTACGGGCCTGGTACTACCTATAGGTATATAGTACCTAGAAAATGTTATATATTTGTATTCAGCGGAAGAATTTGAGTAATTTTTGGTATTTGGCTTATTGCAATATGTTGTGGTGCCAGTGAAATTTTATATTTCCTATTCCTATATTTTTCGACGCGGACGACGATAACATTAAATTTTCCATATTTCTCTGCCATAAACCAAACATTATATTTCTTATAACTGTTATATTTATTTTTTATTTATGTTCTCTGCTGTGCCAAAAGTAAAGTTTGTCAATTATGTAAATCACAGATTATAACCATTGTCATTTGTCACTTTCTGCTGCTACTGAGGCGCGTTCCAATTTCACTGTGCGTCAGTACTGAATAAATTACGGAACGGTCCTTTTCCGCTACTGACAGCCAGTGTTGCCAAGTCGGTGCATATTGCACTAGATCTGGTGGATTGAACCTCCATCTAGTGCCCGGAATTCGATTTTGGTGCGCTAGTGCAAAATCTAGTGCATCATCGATCATTAACCAAATTTGGTAAATAAGAATGAAAAGGCGTTTATACAATGGTTTTATTTTCATAATTTTTTAATCATACAACTCACAGCCCACATTTCTTTCAGAAAATCTGAATACGCCCCTGCGCCGATGTGTTGGTAAGTATATGGTTGGTAGCATATACCTGTGGTGGTCAATGTTGCCGTTTGCGGGTATTTTACCAGAAAATCGGGTATTTTTGTAATGCTTGCGGGTAAAATATTTAAACGGGTAAAAGCGGGTATTTACCAAATTTCGGTCAAAATATTTAATTAATTTATTTTTGCAAACAGAGCTGAAGAATATATTTTTTAATAATTTTATTTTATTAAGAAAATATATATTTATATACAGGGTATCCCTGAAATGGCGCACCTACTCCATACCATACCGTTTCAAGCCCATTTAAGAGACATCTAAAACGATTGTTATGGAAACAAAGCATCTACAGCCATTTTAAGTTAACATGGTTGACAGATGTATTTTTTAGCAGTTCCTGTCAAAAAACCCAAACTTTAAATCATCATAACTTTGTTAACATTAATAAATTTAAACTTTTAATTTTTTAAACTTGATTGTGTTTAATTCTTTTATAAAAACATATACCTATTCTTAAAAATTTAAAATAAAGAAAATTGAATTGAACTTTTAAATATAAGGTAAGTATTTTTTTACTCTTGCGGGTAAAATCGGGTATTTTGTAATTTTTGACCGGGGATTTTCATGAAAGACATCCGGCAACACTGGTGGTGGTAGTACCCCTAAACTTGGTTTAGGGTAGTATCACAGATTATAAAGGTAGTACTGCGCTGCCGCTGCTCTGCGATTGGCTGGTTTGTTGAATTCTTTCACAGAACCTCTGTTTCGATGTATTATTTTTCTATGTTTGTTTCAAATAACAAAAGAAGTCTAGTATGGTAAATTCTTATTCTATGGAATAGTATATTCTTTTCTATGGTATGGTTTAGTTCTATAGTGATTAATTATCAGCGCTTTATTGTTTTAGTGATTTTTTACACTTTTCAAAGCTTTCAAACATACGAATTTTTGAATTAAAAAAAATAATCCTAGTATAGATTCTTTGGGAAATTTTATGCTCTACAAGAATCCGCGACGTAAAAAATTTTATCTCAAACGGTTTAAAAGTTATAGTCTTTTTAATGAAAAAAGATTTTTTTACGTGTTATTTCAATGGAAAACTTAGAATGCTCACCGACACCTTTTAAAATTGAGCAAAAAATTTTGTCTTGCAGGGAAATTTTTTGCTTGGTATGTAGGTTCATTTTAACCCATAAATCCGATAGGTTAATTTTTTTGGCTCACCATATTGCTCATTCATACATTGTGTTCATCTAGAGTGAAATTCAGACTACTGCATTACTGATCGGGTGGATTTACCTTTCTAAGGGATTTACACCGAAGTGAATTTGGTGCTTTTCTAGTGCATTTTTCATTGCTATATAGTGCACAAAGAACATGATAGTGCATAGCTACTTCAAGCAGTTGGCAACACTGCTGACAGCATAGAAAAAGGACTGACAGTAAATTACGGAACACAGCCAAGGTCAGCACTTACTGTCAAATTTTATAGGTTATAATTGTGTTTTTCCAGAAAAATCTAATTTACCTTGCAATTCATGTCATCTATGCGAAATAACTAAAAATGTATTCGAACAAAATCGAGTTTGCGGTGCAAATGACGTGCGAATCGTGCGTGAACGCTGTGAAAAAGAGCGTTGAAAATGTCCCGGGCATCAAAAACATCGACGTAAACTTGGAGACGAAATCTGTCATAATTGAAACTAATTTGCCGACGTTGGAGGTGCAGAAGAGATTGGAGGAAAGCGGCAGAAAGGTGGCACTGAGAGGGTATGGAGGAAGCGTTGCAGGGGTGACTATATTGGAGGCTTTTGGGAGGAATGTTAAAGGGGTTATAAGGTTCGAACAAGCTACTAAGAATTATTGTATTATTGATGGTACTGTTGATGGGTTGAGCCCTGGGGAGTATCAGGCGGCTATTCATGAGTGTGGGGATATTTCACAGGGTAATTATTAATAATATTTAAGTTTTTTTGTTATATTATTATGGATATTTTAGGTTGTAAGAGTGTAGGTGAAGTTTACAGCAATATAGGAAGTATAAAAGCTGAATCAAGTGGTAGGGCTACATTCCGTTTAGAAGATGACAAAGTAAAATTAGGTGATGTTATTGGGAGATCATTTGTAATATCTGAAAAAAGTGAAAATGGAAATCAACAAAGTATAGCTTGCGGAGTTATAGCAAGATCAGCCGGATTGTTTGAAAATCCCAAAACAATATGTGCTTGTGATGGGGTTACTATTTGGAATGAAAAAGTTGGGCCCAAATCTACATTATAATATTTTTAAGTTTGTAAAAATCTATGGTCTAAGTCTATGGTAAAAGTGTATTGTATAAGTAATAGAATTGAGTTATTCATATTTTTTACCATAATTTTTCTACTTCAACTATGGATTTAAGTTACCTGGTTAATAATTTATAATTACTATAATCTATGCTATCTACTTTTATATTTTAAAAAAGCTACTCCTGATGATTTTATGTTAAAAACAAAGAAAAGCTTGCATAAAATATAATATAAAAAAGTATTTTTTTTTAGATTTAAAATAAGTACAGTAACTCCAAAAATGATATCTACTGATATCTTGGCTTGATGGGAGTTTGCTTAGCCTGAATATAGATAAGACAACGTACATAACTTTTACTTTAACAGCAGCTCGTCAATTGGAAAAAAACAAATTTAAAAATCCATAACAAAAACTGCAATACACAAAATTGTATTTGTCCAACTATTAAACGATCAGATAATACTAAATATCTTGGAGTTATGATTGATAAAAACTTGAAATGGAATGTACATGTGTCTTATCTATAGAACAGGCTAAGAAAAACCATAAAAACATTCTTTCAACTTGGAGATATACTTGGTAAAAGCATTGAGTAAAGAACACTTTACTCAATGGTAAAAGTCTAATTTTAAATGTATTTAAATCACTTATAGAATCTATACTTCGTTATTGTATTAGTATATGGGGGGGCCTGCAGGATAACATAATCAAGGATCTGGAAGTTACTCTTAACTTATTATTACGAATTATTTTTAAAAAACCCAGAACATATAGTACAGATTTAATGTATAAGGAAAATAATTTACCAACAATTAGACAAATATTTGTATATCAAGTTATCTTGTGGACCCATAAAAATAAAACCATTCCACATCATACTATACACTAAAAACCAGATCTACCACAAATCAACATTTATCTATACCTTTATTAAAAAAAACAATACTCAGAGACACTTATTTTACTTTGGGCCAAAATTTTATAATATTTTACCATCAGAACTAAAAACTATGAAAAACCTTAAAATATTTAAAACACAGTTGAAAGCTTTTATTATAAATAATTAAATAAATAATCGTAGACGAAGTTATAAAATAATATATATTATAGTAGAACTTATCCACAGGTCTGATTATATTTAAATACCTTAATTATTCTCTTGAATGTCTGCATTGTCTACTTCCCTCCCCCTTGCCCCTGCTCTTTCCTAACTATAATTTTTATTAATATTATTTGTTCTTAATTTAATTAAGATCATGATATGTATGTATATTAATATAAAATATAAATCCGCACACAAATATAAAATAATATATTAAACGAAAACGACTGTATAAATATATTTTATCTATTTCGCGTTCATAATGACTTCATTATAACACCGCTTTTGGTTCTTTAATGAGGTACTTTATTCCACCCAAAATTTTGATTTTATAGTTTGGCTACTAGTAAAATAAAATATTGAATACCTATAGGTTATAATATTTTTATGATTTGTTTTCTAGTACTTACGAGACTTTTCGTGCAATAAATTTTGTTTAACACCAAAGAAAATACTTTTTTCTTCTTTAACAGCCGCTTATTGTAAATACTTATTGTAAATTAACGACGCCATAGCGAAAGAATGTGATAATGTTTGAAAGGTTAATGACCTTTCAAACTTCAAACTGAGATACCAACTATGTAAAGTAAAATTCGACCAAATTAAATATAAGGTATAAAATTAATTTGTTTTATGAAATGATAAAATAGCATAAAGAACTCATGTCATAAGACCTTTTGTCGCACTTGTCCATTATAAAACTCGCTCCTTCGTCGCTCGTTTTATAAATTGTCCGCGTGCGACAAAATGACGTCTTATGAAATTAGTTCTTTAATATACTATAATAGTAATACAATAATTGTAATATTGAATGAATAAATAAATAAAATAAATTTTATTGATGGTTTTCTTGAGAAGATAGTTTATTAGAAGGTTTTTACCCAGTGGCTTAGCTAGCGTCGAGGGGGCCCGTATCAAATATCTGGTAGGGGCCCTTATACGGGAAAAGCTGCTGGCAAAAAAAAATTTTGGGTGTCACGCCCAAAGTCTATTTTGGGCAAACAAAAAAAATTTTTAGGGTATCATTTTTTTCATTTTTTATAATTTAATAAATAATATATACAGGGTGTTATGTAATTAATGTTATATATTAAAATGGGTAGTTCCTTAGGGTCTATAAAGAAGCACCTGAAACTTTTTTTTTCTAAATTCCAAAGACTAAAAATAATTTATAATTACCTTTATCCTACCAAAAAGTACGCCACTGATCGACTAGGAACCGCGGATTAACCTTATCTATTACTTTTTAATGCAGTGTTGCCAAATGTAAAATTAAAAATGTATTACCTTATATGAGATCCTCAAAATGATTTCCAGTATTTAGAATGCAAGCTTGAACTCTGCGAAGCATGCTTTCGCGCACCCGCGTAAAAATGTCTGGATTATTTACAAGTTCCTGGGTTGCTGCCCAAACGCGCTCTCTTAATTCTGGTAAATAATTATTGTTCACTGGTTCGCGGTAAACAATTTGTTTCATCGCACCCCAGAGATAAAAATCGCACGGGTTGAGGTCGGGAGAACGGGGGGGCCACCGAATAGGTCCATTTCTTCCAATCCACCTAGCTGGATAGGTTTAGTTTAAATGGTCCGCAACATTTCTTGCAAAATGGGCAGGAGCGCCATCGTGCTGGTACCAAATCCTTCGCCAAACTGCTAGGGGCACCTCAAATAAAAGGTCTGGTAAATCATTTTGCAGAAACTCCAAATAGAGCTGCCCATTTAAACGTTGCGGTAAAATATGTGGCCTAATTAAATTATTTGCCACTATTCCGGCCCAAACGTTTAGCGAAAACTGCTGTTGGTGATGACTTTCCCGCACTGCATGGGGATTTTCAAAAGCCCATAATTCATAATTCGTAATGATTTACTTTGTCCAATTTATGTTGTTATGGTTGGTAACACTGTTAAAAAATTGTAGGTTATGTGCGCAAATTGTAATATCTTAACCAGTGATGTCAACTCGTGGGGAATTTCTCATTTTGAGGGAAATTTTACCGCAAATTGAGAAAAATGGGAAAAAGGGAAATATTTTTAAAAAAGGCCGTCCATGAGGAAAATTTATATCAATTCAAAATGAAAATTTATAATTAACCCTTTCCTACTTTTTATAATCAAATAATTCGGATTTTTTTATATTTTATGACTTTTTTTCGTATTTTATACAAAAAATATATATAACTTTTAATGCAACAAAACTTTATTTGGATTAACATAATAAAAATATGTATTCTTTTAAAGATCAAAACAATAGGCCGTATTTATAAAAGAAAGGATATGCTTATACTTGCAAAATATGAACGAAATCCTTCAGCTTTTGTATACATAAAATCATTAATAGGATTTCCTTCATATTTTACAAATATAAGCATATATGCTTATATTTGTAAAATATGAAGGAAATCCTTATAAGGATATATCCTTTTTTATCAATATGGCAAATTGTTTTACAATTTTATTTTACATACCTCCCAAGTAACATTTTAAAATCCAAATTGACTTGACTTAGTTTTAAGGCAGTTTTATTATAGCGGAAGAAGTGTAAATTATTTTAAAATGGCTTTTATAAATACTAATTACACTTCGAGAGGATATGGTTTTAAAAGGGAGTTTTATAGCTATCCTGAAGGCATCTCCTTAAAACTATCTAGCATTTAAGATCATTTGCTCTTAAAAATGACTTCATTTGTACTTTAATCAAACCTCAATAAGAGTATATTATCTTAAAATTCTCTTAAAAGCAATGTGGTTTTATTAGTTCGAAATAAATATACTTTTGTTTTAAAATTGCTTTTATTTTTAATCTTAAAGTGTTCTTTGAGATAACTTTTGTTGAAGGTAGGATTAAAACTCCTTTAACTTAAGTAAGAGTTTAATAAAACTATATTTTATAATACTCTAATTAAAATACACAATAAAACTAACTTTACTTGGACAAAACCTTTAAAAACTTGATAAAAGCAGTTAGTTCCATATAAATGTTGCGGAACGTCATAGCTATAGCTTTAGCTATAGGTAAAATGACAACGTTTATGGATAATTCTCTTCGTAAAACAAGAAGTGTACACTTTTACAGAAAATGTAAAGTTAATTGTTACTGTAATATCCAAAAAAGAAATGTAAAACTTTCTATTAATATTAAGTCTAACTTAAGTAATGAAAATGGTACATGTAAACATACACATTAAGTAAGGTTAGGTTTCTAGAAAATTTGGTGCGCATGCTTCTTAGATTTAAAGAGGTTTTATGAGTGTATTTTATAATTAAACACAATCTTGATAAAGTCAATTAGTCTTGAATAAGTACATCTGCCCTTGGTTTAGTTCTATTGGTTTTATTATTGGCAGTTTTAATTCAATGAAGTTTTATTGATGTTTATATTTTAAGGATTTATTAAATGGCCGAAAGTGTCGCACTATGGGATAAAATATTTTATTATAAATTATGAAAACAAATTAAATAATAAAATGCTTATAAATTTTACGTTTAGTAATAAAAAAATAATATTATGTCATTAAACAAGAGGTAATTTAGGCTATTATTAACGAGGATGAGGTAAATGTCTCGAAGGAGTAGAATAGTAGAAGTAGTTATTAAAAATTAACAACTGAATACAAGCGTAAAAAATTACATCCGCGAGATTTTACTTGCATAAGGTCTTTCTCGCACGAAACCTTACTCGGGCAGAGCTTATTTGCGCACAGGCGAGGCTCCACCAAATTGGCCTAGCGAGTAAGACTCGCGCGACTAAGACTCGTGCGAATAATCTTCGCGCTGGTAAGCCCCCGCGACAAATACTCGCCCGAGTAATCCTCGAGAGCGTAATCCTCTCGCTGATAAGCCCGCGCGACTAAGACTGTCGCGCGACTAATACTCGCGCGAGTAATCCTCGCGCGTCCAAGTCTCGCGCGCGTAATCCTGGCGCTGGTTAGCCTTGCGCGACTAAAACTCGCGCGAGTAATAATAGCACAAATAAGCCTCGCGTTGGTAAGACTCGTGCGTTTAAGACTTACGCGATTAAGCCTCGCGCGACTAAGACTCGCGAGATTAAGCCTCGGACTAGTACTCTACACGCGAGTAAACCTCG